ACACTTTCTATCTAAAGTCGCCGTATCACACGTACATTTTGGGTGCAATTTTTTTTGGACAAATTTTTCGTCCTATCTGAGGGTAAAGGGTTGCCGTAAGCAAAACGACATGCTCTGACGTCAGCCGTGCACCTATCTCCACATTGAAAAATTTCTCACCGATTTTTCTGTTTCGGCAAACGAACATCCAGAATTATTTCATTTATTTCGCGAGCGATTTTGTTGATGGGCGTAAACAGAAATGTGGAGCACCATTTCTGTTTAAAATGTTATACGCCATTTATATTATACACCATTAAAAATATACGCCATATGTGATGAGTTTGACGAAATGGAAGACGCCATCTTGTTTATGACCTAGGGCGCCGAAGAACATAATTGGCTGGAATTTCAAGCAACTTTCATTTGAAACAACTTTTTGAGCTCACTAGCAAAAAGTTGTTCGAAAGCAGTTGCTATGGCAACTGAGTAAAAATTGGACGAAAAATTGCTCCTAACGTGTACTCGTGATACGGCCTTAATGCATAGTTGATGTTAACTTAATTGTACCAAAAAGGGATATTTAAAACCTATCAACTGTTAATTGCTGTAACACTGAGCCATTAAAAAGGCAAACATGTATTTGATACATTTTTTTGGAATCATGATAGGAGCAAGTTCAGATAACTTATTTTATCCGTGATACATTCCCTACCGGGATACTTTTTTTACGAACATAATTTAGTGTTTCTGAACGTTATGGGAGGTTCCTTAAAATTTACTTTTATTCGATAGTTGTGATCGACATGCATCAACCTACTATTATATTTTCTATGGTATTTTTATAGTATATGTGGACTGTGTGGTAGCCCAGTGATCAAGGTATGGGATCACGGCAGGCATGTTATGAGTTCGAGCCCAGTACCACTAAAGACCCGCCGTGTAGGGGAGCTCTGCACATTTAATTTGTCGAGAGCTCAAACTTTTTCCCGTTGGTGTGTGTGGTTGTTAGGAGAGGGGTACCAGCTCAGGTGTCGTCCTCGTCACTTGACCATGGCTCAAAATTACGAGGTCCATCGTCAAAACGCCCTCGTGTAGCTGAATAGTGCGACGTTAAAATTCATTCACTCACTTTATTGTATGTGTAATTTAAACTTTCTAGGAATCCAACTAGAATTCCAAACATGACTTTCTGCTGTAGCCTAATAGTCACGGTCACGGACTCGTGTCGGTGTGCCGGGAGTTCAAGTTCTTCCATTGAATACCCGCTGAGAAGGGCTGAAGCATGATAAATCCTTTGAAACATTTTTTTAAATTTTACAAGAATAATCTGAAACGTACACAATGTTAAAGTGAACGTCGTAACATACCGTACACGTCACGGACTCTTGACCATCGTGTTATGAATTCGAACCTGATCCATTTGAGATCCGCCGAGTTGAGAGGTGGATGCACATTAAATTTGTCGAGATCAAAGTCTAGACCAGGGGCCGGCAACCTTTGAGATGTAGCGTGCCAAACTAATGACACTAACACAATGTTTCTGTAACTTTAGGGCGCGCCCCTAGGGGCGTGATAACCCTTCAAGGGGGGCGCGAGTATATCGAAAAGTCGAAAACAAAAAATTATTTTAAAAAATTTTAAATTTACTGAAAGTAAGCGTAACAAAATGCATTGAGAAAATAAAAAATAAAATGCGCACATTTACATTGATGTAATACACTTAAAAAAATGTATCAGTATTACACAATATGTTTCATAATTAATTTAATAGTACTATAACTTAAGAGCAAGTTTAATAATTATCGGTGGCCCTATCGGCATACCAAAAATTATATATAAAATTTAATACTTATCTTGATAATTGGTACGTTTTATAATTAAAGCCGTATTGCAGCTTTAGACTCAAAGTACATTATTATTGCTTTCAATACATTATTATTTTATAAGGGGCGCGATGAAAATTATGACTGAAAATTGGTCGCGAACACTGAAAGTTTGAGAAGCATTGCACTAACAGTATGATTCAGCGTGCCAAACTAATGACACTTAAGAGTATTTTAATGATTTCCCACAGCTCTTGGATAACTATTTATTTCCGAATGAAAGTCATCAAAAAAAAAATAAATAAATAAATAAATAAAATGGTATATTCTTTACAATTCAATAGCAAAAAGGGTCCGTAATGATTTCGAGTCTATTTCACCTAAAATAAGGGCGTAACTTCGCCCGTTATAGAAAAGTCCCAATTCAAATCGTGAGTAAAAAGGTTCACTTTCGGTAATTCCTCACCAAGTCTCAGTGGTTTGGCTGGCTCCAACTTCGCCGTACTCTTTCGCACTCTCTCCCTTTCCCCCTGATCTTCAAGCTGGAGACCGCTGTACTTGCGGACTCGTTATCGCTTTTCTGATCGCTCAAGGGAGTCCCAACGGCTCCCTTCAAAATCCAGTCCTTTCTCCGGACTCTCGCCCTTTCTTATATCCTCTCTATTTCTCCTAGTCATTCTTCCTGATCTCTTTGTCGGCCTCAATCCTCTTGTTCTTCTGCCGTTTTCTGCGGTTGCTCCCTTGATCTTTTACCCTACTGCCGCGCAATGGTCTCGTTTCCTGTTCACTAGTCCAAGAGGCTTCGAGACTGGGTGCACATTTGTACGTTTTCAGACGCGCCGTCATCACCGAATCGCGGGAAAATGAATACACAATGTTAAGGCGCCTCTTTTTGACAGTCCAGTCAGCTGGGAAAAAGGTTCCGAAACTCGACCACCCAGTTACGAAATTCCTTCCCAGCAATTAGGGAAATGCCTGGAATTTTCGCAACGTCTGTCGGCAAGGGATCTGTTAGAAAAAGGGGAAAGAGATCTGCTTCGTCACAGTATGATTCAGCGGGCCCCACTGTAGGACATTTTTGAAACAATTCGATTCCAGTGATAATGCATGAAGAGTTAGGAAATAAAAAGGTGGAAAATATAGATTTACAGTTTTATTACATAATAATTTTTTCCATCATTTCAAAAATATTTCTTAGCGTAAAAATAAACAGCAAAAAATATAACGATTTGTTCAACAAAAATTAAAAAAAATTAAAATTGTATGTATATTATGTATTTTTAAACATATTTATTAAAACAAGATATAGACAACATAAAATATGAATATTTCCCTTCATTATATTTAAATAAAAAGTTTAATGCGAGCTGCGTTTGCACCGGTGTCCTTTCATATCGTAAAACTTAGGCGTACAATGTGCGACTTTCAATTTGACGCGATTCTGAGCATTGAGTTACTAAACAATTCCTTTGCTTCAATTGCTAATTCCGCAAAAGTCCACAATTCTAAAGTGGCTGCGGTAGCCCAGTGGTCAAGGTATCAGATCATGGCATTGCATATCATGAATTCGAGCCCAATAGTACTAAAGGCCCACCATGTTGGGGAGGGGAGCACGTCCTCCGTTGGTGTGGTGTGGTAGTTAGAGAGGGGAAGGGTGCCAGCTCAGGTGTCGTCCTCGTCACTAGACCGTGATTCAAAATTACGAGGTCCGTCGCCAATTGTCCTTGTGTAGCTGAACAGTGCGACGTTAATATTCACTTACTAACTCACTCACTCACCCACAAATCTGAAAATGATTGTCAAGTTGGGGAAATTCAGAAAGGGTGTTCCAGCTCGGGTGTCGTCCGCGTCATTTGAACGTGGCTTAAAATTAAGAGGTCCGTCACCAATAGCCCTTATCTTGCTGTCTAGTACGGCGTTAATACACACTCACTCCAAACTTGGTTACATGCGACTGTGCAACAATGTTCAAGCTGTGAAGCGGATTCACAAAGTACTTATCTAGTTAACTATGGCGCCCCCATTTCAAAGGGCTCAACTTCGTGTGTCACGGAAATCAAGCGATGGTAAGTGAACTCGTCAATCATAGAGTAAGTATCGCTGTTAACATATTGGGAAAAAAAGATGGGTCAATTTTACAAAATTGCCAATTTTATTACTAATACTTATTTATTTTTGTTAACATAAACATATATTGCACACATAAGAGTTTTTATGGATATCTATGAATTTCAGTCGCCATCAAGATTCCCTAACAAGATACCTAAACACACATTGATTTACTTCCTTCTTTACAGACAAAATATTTTCTACCCGTCTTGACACTAAGGAAGCTCTGGAGTAGATGCAGTTGGCTTGATCAGGTCCTCTTACCAAGTAACATCCTTGCCTTGCCCACAAAAATAACTATTCTTCAGGCAGCATGGCATTGGACCATTATTCTAATGTCACAGTGCATGATTCTAATATCAAACAGTTGGTATTTACACCACACGAAAGCTAGGTAACTTCGGACCAGCAGTTATCAATGGTCTCCGCACCTGGTCGGTATCGCGTATTTCTCCCATGACTGAACATACCTGAAGGAACCCTATTAAAAATCAACTTTCCGACTTTTACCTATGTCCCTTTTTGGCAAAGATCTAAAAACGTTATTGCACATAAATAAATTCGCTACGCGAACTTATGCGTTGTTTCAAACAGTGTTATGGGTACGCATGAGTTAATCCTAATTTTTTTTTTTCAATTTTTTTATTTATTTTACTCTAGCCGGCCTCAGAATATTCTAAAAATTTCAAATTTGAGAATATTGAAGTTATACTTCTTTTGGGGCGTTAGAGAAAAAGGATGAGGGTATATGTTTACAATGTGCGCGCGCACACCGTCACGGATGCGAAAATCCTTTGCCTAGAAATATACAGAACGGGACACAAATCATTCCCGACTTCAAAATTCTCAGAAAATATTTCTCTTCACTTCCCTGAAGAAGGGGACACCCGGATTTGAACCGGAGACCTCTCGATTTGCAGCCGAATTCTCTACCACTGAGCTATATACCCGCGTCAAGCGAAACTTTGCTTTGTGTTCCGTAGGAACGGATACGAAGATGCTTTGTCTAGAAATATACAAAACGGGACAGATCATTCCAACCTTCGAATTACTTTAAAAAAATTTTTCTCTTCAATTCCCTAAAGAAGGGAGCATCCGGTATTTGAACCGGGGACCTCTCGATCTGCAGTCGAATGCTCTACCACTGAGCTATACACCCGCGTCTGCGAAACTTCCCTTGTTTTCCCGTAGGAACGGATACGAAAAAGCTTTGTCTAGAAATATGCAAAAAGGACAGATCATTCCCGCCTTCGACCCTCCCCATATTTTGGTCCCATTGTCCCCGTGGGGGTGTTTAAATTCATTTAAAAAACGTGATTATCTCATGTTTGGCTGGTCCGATTGGGCTGAGGTTAGAATCGTTCAACTCTGCTCGTGACCGCCTTTCGTCTTTGGACCAGCTTGCCCTGTTAAAGATTTTTAGAAAGATTTTACTCTTGTTACGCCAGAGAAGTGTAACTTCTTACGTGCGTACATAAGTACACACACACTCTTTTATTTTTTTATTTTTTTCAAAACTTCCAATTGTGGAATAGTCAATAGTCACTGCTTTTTAAGCATGACCAGTATACTCATCGTGAAACAAAACTCTTCAATTTCCCCACGACGTGTCTACTCGTCATTCACTGGTAACTGGTTAAAAAATACTTGTCATTCCCGGTTAAGGAACCACACTCACTTTTTAGAATTATGCTGCCTTTTCCTATATTTTTCCAATTCCTTCTATTAGGTCACACTCTCCCTACATATATGTATATACACAGTGAAGAGCCAAAAAATATCTTGTCTAATATCGTGTAGGGCCTTCACGAGCATGCAAAAGTGCCGCAACACGACGTGGCATGGATTCGATTAATGTCTGGAGTAGTGCTGGAGGTAATTGACACCATGAATCCTGCAGGGCTATCCATAAATCAGTAGGAGTAAGAAAGGGTGGAGATCTCTTCTGAACAGCACGCTGCAAGGTATTCCAGATATATTCAATACTATTCATGTCTGGAGATTTTGGTGCCCAGCGGAAGTGTATAAATTCAGAAGAGTGCTCCTGGAGCCACTCTGTAGCAATTCTGGACGTTTGGGCGTCGCATTGTCCAGCAAAAATTCCCGAAGTTCGTCGGAATGCACAATGGACATGAACGGGTGCAGGTGATCAGACAGGATGCTTACGTACCTAGATGATTCAGAGCCAACTACACACTCCCTATACCATCACACAAACTCCACCAGCTTGAACAGTTCGCTGTTGACATGTAGAATCCATGGATTCATGAGGTTGTCTCCATACCCGTACGCGGCCATCAGTTCCATTCAATTGAAATCGAGACTCGTGAGACGTGTTTCCTCAATCAACAGTCCAATGTCGGTGTTGATGAGCCCAGGCGAGGCGTAACGCTTTGTGTCGCGCAGTCAACAAGGGTACTTGAGTGGGCCTTCGGCTCCTAAAGCCCATATTGATGATGTTTCGTTGAATGGTTCTCACGGTGGCACTTGTTAATGACCAAGCATTAAAATCTGCAGCAATTTGAGAATGGGTTGCACGTCTGTCACGCTTAACCTCTTCGCGACGGGGGGTGCAAATATGCTTTCATCACGGACGCACTTCATGGCCGGGCGAAGCCTATATAACTTTTCAGCTGGAGCGTTTTTTAATGACCACTAGATGGCACCCTATGTCCATTATATTGAAACAGAACATTGAGTAACTTGACCTTCAGTCTGTTTATATTCTGCCTGGATTTGGTATTTTGCTCATCAGCTGTAGCGGGGAGGGGATAATCGAAATGTAAACAAATAGCTCGTAAAATTTCCACTTGATATTAGAATCTTGAGAATGTTTTATAACTCTCACAAGGCTTTTTTATTTGCTTTTTCTTAACAATGTGGGTGTTTTAGAGTTTTAGCGTCATTTCTGTTACAGTTTTTGTTGCTTTCGCGAACATATTTTGGGTACTTTTCTTATTTCAAAAACCTTGATTTCAGATTATTATTTGATAAGCATTTTTCTAATCTTAATATGAACAAAAAAGGGTGAAAAAAGCCAAAGTGTATAGTCAAAAACCGTATGTAAATAAAAATAAAAAAAAATACGTAACGAACATTTTATGCTCTAAAATGTTACAATGTAGGACTTAGCGTTTCTCCATGCTTCGAGATTTTCCACACTCAGTCTTCCTTTTAAATTTGCTATTTCTTTTTGTAAATAATCTTTGTCCTAATTTTTTTATTAATTTAAAAGTTCATTAACATGTTTCTTCAATGAAAATTTTGGAAAAAATTGAGTAGCACAAAATTTATTTCCCAATGTAAGTGATATTTTTTTATAAAATTCATATAAATTAAAGGAAAAACGTTATTACATTCTAGTTTTAATGTAACAGACAACTTTTGTAGTAATTTAAAGGGGTACCAAAATTTACGACATTAGGACTGAAATTTTATTATTTATGCATTTTTTTCTTAAGTTAGGCCTAGCGACGAAAACGCCCCGTCCTGTGAAGTGCAAGTCCTTACGCAGTCCTTACGAAGTTAATGATTCTCATCAGCCGTCGTTGGTCCCGTTCTTGTATGATCTTGAAGAAAGAATGGGTCTGCTTTTGAAGCATGTCACACATTGATGAACGGTTTTAAGTGCGATGCTACGCCTACTCAAAGGCCAAAATTTTTGTCGTAAGGCATTTAACAATCCCTGTGGGCCAACGTGAAAGAGTCTTCTATGCAAGCTGCTAAAGTAAAGCTTACCTAACTTTGAACCTTTTGGTAAAATCGTAGGATGCTTAGGAAAATATGGCATTGAAGCGTTTCCTAATCTTCCACTTACGCAAACTATTCCTTTCCCATCTATAAATGGAAATAAGTCAGAAATATTACTTGGAATTTCTGTTATATAAAACAAGGATCTATGGTCATGCTTGATCAATTTAATTTCTGACTCCTTGAATTCGACTACAGTTAGAGATCCAACCTTCTTAGACTTATTCCTACAGCTGTTGATGAATCTGAAAATATAAGACAAAATATTAATAACTTTGAAGTAATTATTATAAAGTTCTAAGAGTTCATCAAATATCTCTATTCAGCAAGATAGTCTCTTCACTTCTCTCAACATGAGGCAATTTTTTCCTTTCTTCAACTACAGTCTCTTTCTCATTTTCAGTGAGGTAGTCCAACTCAGGAACCACTTGAATGTTTTTAGGAAATTCAGGATCTGTTAAAATTCTGCACCTCTCCACCACCTGGAATTTGTCACCAGACAGTCAGCGCTCAGTCCACCAGAGAGGAAGTCTGCAGGGTTTTCTTTACCAACACAATGGTACCATGTGTGGGGATCCGTTAGGCTGGTTATTTCATTTACTCGGTTAGCAACGAATTGTTTCCATCTGGTTCTGTTTCCCTTTATCCAAAACAGAACTATTTTGGAATCAGTCTAATGATATTCTAAAAAGGATCTTTTAAGATTTACGATCTTTTTCAACTTAGATGCAAGGTGAGCAACGGCTAGAGCTCCAAGTAATTCTAGTTTGGGGAGGGTTACTCAGTTTAATGGTGCTACACGGCTTTTTCAAGTCACAAGTTTAACAGAAATTCCATTCCTTGACAGTCCTCAAATATATGTAGGATATCCCATTTGTAAAAGGTTAGATCATATCCTTTACCGAAGTCGGCAATTCTAATCAAAACAGTATTCCACATCAACGCCATCTAGCGTCCCTTTTAAAACGTCGACATCAACCTTTTTGCGGCAGAGGCCCACTAACACCCGTCGAGAAACGTCGTATTTCGCGCGTCAGTGCCGTTCGTCCGCGCCAGGCGGTAAGTCTTAATAGCACCATAATGAGTTCTATCTAACTCAATTGCCTCCCTAAAAGTAATGTGATCTAACTTTCCTATTCTTCCGAAATATGCTTATCCAACTTTTCTATTCTTTTGAAATATTCCCCATGTAAATACTCCCCTATAATTCTTAATAAATTATTTAGTTTTCAACTAGTTTCTTTCTTTAACTATGTTGTCTATTTTATTTCAAAATTAACTAATACACCCTAAAAACCCCTAGACACCACGCCATAAAAACCCCGCCATCTGAAGAATCCCACCTTTTCGAAGATTTCGGTTGGATTCCTGCAGAAATAATTGGAGGCTCGGCCGGGATAGATTTAAAATCTTCTTTTCCTAACCTTCTTTGAAAAAAAAATTGGCTTAACGCCCAAATTGAAAACACTGACTGAAATGTAAACAAACGGTTTGCCTCTCATAACATACTTTCCTTTTTTATGGAGTTATTTTGGTCCTGCAAGTATCAGTTCTGAAAATTGATCCAGTCCATTTCAAGCTTCATCCTAGAAAAATACGTTTTCAACAACTGTATCAGGTACTGTTTTTTATTATGTTCTTCATTAAAAGAAAGGAAATCTCTAAAAGAAGAATTTCAGAGCCACTATCATGTTGTTTATAAAAAAGAATTGTTGTAGCCGATTTCATGAAGTAATTTATATTTTTAAGTATCATGTGTGTTTTTTGAAATACTATTTTTCTATTTGTATATAGAAATCGCATCAATTAAAATTTTCTACAAGTATATCTTTATAAGATTTAAGAAATCCAGCTTAATATTTAAGTTATTTTAACTTTTGTAATTCATTTAAAAACGAAATGAATTATTGTATTTAATATGTTGTACAATATGCAAAACTAAGCATTTTCGGTTTGTTGCGTCACTGGTGCATCTTAGCTCATTAGGGATTCATAAATCCGTCATTCTCAGCATAAATATTTCGCAATTTTCGATTACTGATCTCTTTTTACATCCCCCACAGCTGTTGTGTAATAAATTAATCATTTCCTGTATTTTGAGAAGAAATTTCACTGAATCATTTTTGCTTTTCATTTAAACATCGTTCATTTTTATAATTTATTGATGAAACATCCTAGATGATCCAATTTTAATGGTGTACTTCAGTGTTTCTCAAACTGTGGGGGGCGAACATATCGAAAATAAAAGGTTAAAAAAATTAATTTACTGGAATGAAAAAAGACAAAATACTTTCTGATATAATAAAAAAAATACAGATTTACATTGATATGATTTATATATATCATCTGGTGAAAAAAGTTCATCAAAAATAAAAGATTCTACTTTGAACGCTCATTAGCTATCTTTGA